CAATTTGAGTTCCAGCCGAAAAAGCACAAATAATGCTATCTATTCTTTTATGGACAAGGTATATTCTAGCCTAAACAGGGGAGCAGCTGCTGCGGCAGTATTCTGTGATTTCTCCAAAGCATTCGACTGCGTAAATCACGAAATACTGTTGCGGAAGCTGCACCACCACGGCTTCACAGACAATAAGCTCCAAAGTTTCAAGACCTACCTGACCGGTCGTCAACATGTTGATGAAACAAACACTACCTCAGAGACCGCGCAGATGAATCATGGTGTGCCTCACGGATCAGTCCTAGGGCCAATTCTTTTCCGGTTATATATTGATGATATGATATTCCTTGATATGAAATACGAAATCACGTTTTTTGCGGACGACACGACTATTCTATGGCAAGATAATAATGATGAGATATGATAAACGAATTTGAAACTAGCGTTCTGGGGAAGCTGTAGTAATTGATTATTTCAAAGGAGTTTCATGTTACAAAAGAGAGCTCTGAGATATATGTGTCATACAAAATCAACAGATTCTTGTAGAGAGTTGTTTAGGAATTGTGGTATACTAACTGTAATTTCTTTATATATCTTGGAAACAGCTTCTCTGATTTATAAGAATATACGGTCCTTACCACTTGTCTCCTCACGAGACAATTGATAATCCCCCTCACTCTGAAATACAAATATACAATCATCTGCCAAATGACATGAAAGGAATCGCATGTTATGAAAAATTTCGTACTAAGGTGGAAGCATTACTTCTACAAACATCATTGTACAACTTGACTGAATATTTCCTGCAAAGCTTCAACTAGAGTCTTTCAAATTGTTGTGTATATATATATATACATCACCTATTTCGTCTGTTCGACCAGATTATTTTCATTCATTCATATAAATATTTCAAGTGTTGTCAACAAGTGTGCGATTTCAAAACTAGTATTGTTCATTTATTTATTTTTCATGTATTTTATGTGTATAACAAACTTTGTCAACAGGTGAGAACTTAAGACGATAAAGTATATTTTGAATTGAATTGACTATTAGTTTGATTGACTACCAGAAACCTCAGTGATTTTTCCTAGTTCGTCTGAAATATTCATAAAAAATAGTGACTTACCACTCGACAATGCTGAATAATGTACTTACTTCCTCATCATAACACATCGTTTTTCGAGAACAGCGTTTATGACAGTAGTGTGAAACTATTCAATAAACTGCCTTCCGATTACAAGTTTATGCCATTCAATGAATTCAAAATTTCAGTAAAAAATCTTTTGATAGATAGAGCATACTAATCAGTTCTTGATGATGATATGTGATATGTGTATACCCAAAGCTTCATGGAAAGCATTTGTATAGTTCCCACGTTTCAGATATAGGGACTCTGAACTTTTTATTAATTTTTTATTTTTATGTAAATATGTATGATCGTTAACTTATATAATCTAAGCACATCTGTGGAATGGAATACACCAACCAATTTCAATTGTTATGAAATGGATTTGTATTGTTTCAGGTATTCTAAGAACTTGTTTTGTTTTTGTATTTTCTATATATTTTTTGTATAATGTTCAAATATAATTATCATTTCTACACAACTACTGTGCACTCTCCTGAAAATCCTGTTTTTTTTTTCTGGAAATAATTATCTTATCTCATCTCAATGTTGTCATATAGCTTTGTTGCCAATTGGAATTTTTCGATAAAATTTTGCTCTCAACCTAATTGTAGGATGCTGAATCCAGTGATAGGGTCGAATTTTTTCGAAAAAAAAAATCTTCGAATACTCTTTCTGCCGAAACAAGGAATAAATCAATCGGTTGAAAACTAGATTTTATAAATGTGCTCCGGTTTCAAATGGGTCACACCGTGACAATTGACGACTGTGGAGGAAATGGAATGAATAAGTGAAAACAGCTTCACTTCTTTCCAGTTCATTTCTTTTCAACTATTTGGAATATTTATTTGTAGATGGTAAAATTGACTTTTGGCTCCACTACAAATAAAGGCGAACTATTGGTTAGCTGCGTCATTACCCCAGTAGCCACCATTCCCCTGATTTGCCCTAAATCTAGTCTCCATTTTTGATATGTGTTATTGCACGAAACCTAGCAAATTTTCCTAACTAGCCATAACCCAACCAAAACCCGAACTTCGAACTATCAGTTTTTTGTCTTCAGACGTAAAAACGTCGCATAACAATGGCTCGCGATGAAACTAATTTGAAATATCGTCTGACCCGCGGAAAAAATGAACGAAAAAGTTTCCATCCGATCCTGAATAATAGCATAAACCTGGAATTAAACGGACAAAAACTGTAATTTGCTGTGTCGATATTCGAAACTTTGTCTACACTGCCAGAATCTCATAACCGAACATGACATCGGAATACCTTTCGGAAAGCAAAAGTTGGACGTTTTATGTTATTCGTCGGTTGAATTTACAGCTACAGTTGAGCTTACAGATATGAGGATAAGTTATACCAGGCTCATAGATATATTTATAGCACTATTTGGATGTCCAGTTGCAGACAGAAAACAAGTTATGAAATGAATGGAAATGGCTATTTCGAGAACAGAAAAATATCTACCCATAACTATGATGAGAACAGTTATTTCTACCTGCTTGTGTCTCTAATGAGTTCATTATGAACACTAAATGCGTACGTGAACATCTTCTTATACATGTACTTTCAGTACCTATTTCATCATGCTTGGTAACATCCAACAATTCAGATACCAGTAGCACATTATAATGAAACGTTTCCAACGATGATATTTTTTCAGTACAGGCAGAATTAACATTCAATTCCCAGCGAACACGATAAAGCTGGCGATGATTTAATCGATGATATACTGGTGGCACTATTATTCGATTATAAAAAGTACATGTTCATTGCTGTTTCAATCATATAATACAAATGTGACACTTCCACTGTGCTGGTACAATAGTATCATGTGAATCAAGATCACACTATTGTATAATCCATTCCACATATATCACAAGAACAGTACTGGTTGAACGATAAATAAATGATAAAGGTTCCTCAAGGTCATGAGGTCATCAATGAATTGACAATGGGCCATCAGCTCATCAGATGCATTTTATTGACATTATATCTTCGTCAATAGTCAATTGATATATTTTCCATAGGTCTTCCATTGTGTTTTTTCAATCCTTTTGCGCATGAGCCGTCATTTTTTATTGTAAAATGTGGAATGAACAAGTGAATGAATGGAAAGATGTATAAGTGCATTGATATGCAATTTCGTCAAATTCAGATGAAGAATTTAGTTGTGTAGACTGATGAATTTTACCGGGTGAACTGAAGACCAAAAGAGGCGTTGAATAACATTTAAATTTACAGATTTTCTTTATTATTTCGAAATCCTTGAAAGGTACTTCTCTGAAGTTGGTAGGACAATTCACTATAGTGAATGTGCATGGAAAACATGTCGTACTAATGCAATTAATTTACTGAGTGTTAGGTATTTAACATTCCCTTTAATTGAAATTGATGTCACCTTTTTTGGAGCACGACACTGGCCACATTTTGATATTTCCATGATTGACAAAATGAATTAGCTCACTTTTTTTAACTGCAGTGTTCTTATATTTTTTCTTGTTTTTCGAGATATCTAACAAAATTAATTTTTGTGCTCGTATTTTTTCTTGGTTTTCGAGATATCTAACAAAATTGATTTTGGTGCTCGTTCATACTTGTTTATGTTTATGATTATGACGATTTTTTGCCTCATTTATGTTATTGGGGATGCTTATGTATGTTTATGAAATAATTTATTGATGATAAAGTTATTAGTCACATTCGAATTTATTCATTTCTTCTCGAATACATTTTTTTTATCAGGAATCTGGATCCGAAATTTGGAAATGACCAGCTCCCAAATCATATGATGAAGAGTTTGCGAATTGGTGAACATGATTATTATGGTGAAGAACTCAATACAGGTTGAAGAAACGAGCAGAACATGATAACAAGTAATATGGAGTAAACCAAAATGAATTTTGATTTGTATCTCGAGAACCAAGACAAAATATGAAGAAACTGCGATAACAAAAAAGTTACATAATTTATTTTGTCATTCTTTGATATATCGAGATGTGGTGAGTGATGCACTCCAATTACATTTATTTGTATCAGAGAGAATGCGAAGTACCTAACTCCCTTTATATTGATTGAATTGGTACAACACGTTTTCCATGCTCATTCATTATAGTGAATTGCCCTAAGGATTTCAGGGCAGTACCCTTAAAGGATTCGGAAATATTGATGAACATCTGGTTCAACCTGTAGAATTTATGGTACATTGTTCTGCGACACTTTGTATAACTGAATACGAGAAGTTTTATTGTAGTAATTATCATCATTATTATCATTAGTAAAATAATATTTTCTCTACATAACCTTGAAATTCTTTGTGTGAAAATGAACCACTCAATTTCCATTGGGAATGTACTGAAAATATGTCAGTCAGTCATAACTGAGCCAACAATGAATTAGCAATGAATTGAAGTACTGCTTCACCAATATTGGCGTTAAGTCGGCCAGTGGACAACTTTTGTAAATTGCCATTGGAAGATGCCAATATTGTGCCAATGATAGTTCACTAGAGAGATATTGCTTAAATGGCGATTGCTCATGTATTAATGGTTATACACATCCTGTCGAAATCTAAGAAATGATTCGTATTAAAAACTTCTCATTATTGCAAGATTTTCTTTTCCAGAATTTCGAAATGTGCTGGAATTGAAGTGAGGTACCACCTGACTACCTGCATATGCGAGTACTCGCCTGAAAACCATCCGATCACAATACCTGTCTGACATTCATCTGCGTAGATGCGTCTCTCGAGCGTGCCTTGGAATTCGCAACATCTAGACCAGGAGGAAAGAAACATCCCAAAATACAAAATCCCATTTATTTGATAAATGGGAGTGGCCGACTGCCCGACTGGTATTATTTGGGAAAGAAATATTACCTCTACATGGAATCTTCTTCAATATCCTCAGTCTCTTCTCGATCTTCTCCTTCGAAGAGTTCTTGCCGATTAGGAGGAAATGCCGTGGTACGATGCCGAGCTCTCTCAAGTTGATATCGATGGTTTGAGCAAGGGAAGGCCACCATCCCCGATCTGAGAAGGAAAGAGAAATAATTTCAATAGGTTATTCAACGAGTTCTCGAAAAGCAACATTATTTCATGTACACCTTGTTTTACCTAGAAACTCACATTAGAACTACTTCGTAGTTGACTGTTACTAACTAGCTCAGTAATTGATTCAACCCTCAATTAACAACATTGATAATATAGGCATAAATTACATTTGGTTAGAATTATTACCGCCACCACATTATCACACTGTCCCATGTAGAGGTCCAATTATGGTTTACATCCTAGCTGCATTTCTTCAGTTCTAACAAAGAGGGGGTAACTCAAGGTAATTACCACAATAGAATTCATGAAATGAACGGAATTGGTAGATAACGAGGGAAAAACAACTACTTTCTTGGGTATACAGTTGAAAGTGTTTCTTTCCTAAATGTTGAGTTGTGCTTATATTGTTCAGGAACTCTTGACTACCTACAGACTGGTTTTGTGCTTTGACTCTCATCAGTGTAGAGGTGTCCCCTGATGTCATTCATAACCGCAATTTAGTGCGAACCTGACCCAACGTGAACACCTCTCAAAATTCAATACCCACGTTCCACCACTGCGAAATGGACACAAATTCGGCTTATTTGGTTTCTTCAAAAGGACTGGATTTGTTGGTGTGAATTGATTATTATTGCAAAGATTTGTGATTTAGAATTAATGAACAATGATTATTCATATTGTGTTGCCTTTGGATACAAGCAAGACAAACCGAAATTTTGTGTCTGTGGATTTTCCACTTGGATTCTGAGGACAACTTCCAGCTTTCTAAGCTTATTGAAAATGAAACCCACAAACTGTTCCATTCAAAAGGGCCTATTCTATTGCAAAGGTAAGTGAAAAAACTGAAACAAAAAGTAAGAAGGAGAAGGACAATCTTGATGAGGTACTAAAAAATCATTTTGAAGGTAAAAACTACAAGTTCAAATTTTCAAACTGAAGAGCTACATCATAGTATCGTCTTTCCAGATTTGCCTTTGGAGCTTCTCCATCTCCAGAAAGGAAAATGAAGGTGTACATTCTGGGCGACGCAGATATTCATCTCTGATGAAGAAATTCGTCCTAACATTGTACTTTTATTATTCACTTCTTATTCACCTTTCATTCACCTTCATGGAAAAGTAGGTACTCTTGAAAATTAGGCTCAAAATTGACCTTAGGTACTCGATACCATTCAAGAACCTGTTTCAAATTTCTTCTATCGTTTTTCTATTTCTTCTGATAGTGTTGAGACATTGAGCTTCGCTCACCCTGTACAATATATCGGGACATATGACTAGGAATATATAATTTCATTCTTGTATTCATTCGCCTTCCTAGTCTTGTAAGAATAAAAATGGAATTTCACTCTTGAGTCAATAAAAAAATCGGTAATTATTTTCAAACAATAATTGACTGCAACATTATTCTTTTTCATAAATGAATATATATATATATTCAATCACGTATACACTTATAATGCAAGCGCTTCCCATAAGCCGAGATAAGATAGAAAGGGATAGGTATCCGTATGCACAGCGGGTTGCCTGAACAATATTTTTGCCTCACTCGTCCTTTACAGAGGATCCCTTCCAGGTGTTCATATTGAGTTCATTGCGTGAATCGCGATACCCTTCTTATATTTCCGAAAATACAGAAAAAATAATGGAAAATTTGTTCTTGTTCTTCTGGTTCCTCAACCATCCCAGAGTTGTTGCGGATTGAATTCGGTGCGCACCTTATTATGCGCAAATTGTTGAAATAAACCTCTAGTGCGTTCACTCTTCATTTGCTTCGTCAGACTGGTTTTTGGATATAAAAAATTGAAATTCAGACAATGACGTGGGTTTCATATATTGAATGTTAGATGGGGTGATTTCTAGAACTTATGATCAACATCAGTTCTAGCACCCTTGATGCGGCTTAATCGCAGAATGTATTCCCTATCTTCGTTGGTCACAATTGTCACATTACTGCCTGTAATTTTGGTACGAAACCAGACCAGACTCAGCGAGATTCACCATGGGAGAGACCACTGATTTTTCGAAACGACATTATCGTGAACTCTATGCTGTAAAACTACCAGTGAATTTATTTTGAATTTTTTTATTAATGCTAAGACGATGAAAACAATAAATTAAAATATGTCCATTTCAAAACACACAATTCCTACGCCATTTGAAATTTTATCAGTTCCTCGGTGTGACTGGTGCGACGTCTTAGTCCCAACACGCCTATCGTCCACCAATCACACTGCAACACTGCAGAATGACGAGGTATCAGAGAGAGATAGCTACAGTTCGGGACTAATACGTCACGGCTCCACCATTATATTTGGTTTTTTGAAATATCAAATGTAATATGCTGATTTCAAGACGATATAGATTCGATTTCCTTCAACTTCAACTCATAATATTGATTGTACATAAAACTTAAATCATGATTTGTCGATTGAAAGAGGTTTGCACGGATTTCTTCCCTCAGTGGTCTTTCCCTACAAGGATCGTTTCAACAATTTGCAACGCGAAGAAACCATATGCTGGGTAATTGTTATGCGAAAGGTTCCAATCTTCAATATATCAAAAATCAGTGATGAGAATATAATATTAGAAAAATAGTCACGATCATTAAACACTATACCTCTCCTATTCACGAACATGATGTTCAAGTATTTGAAGGAGAGAGAAAAAGACAAAAATCATGGTCCAACCTCAAACAAAGAAATGTATATGCGTTCCTTTCACATGAGAATGATTCACGATCACACAAAAGGAATGGGCAGTGCCTGAAATAAATTCCGATTGAAAAATCAGAGAACGGGTCAGAGCATTTATGGGAATTAATCCCATATAGAGCAGACGACGTCATAACTTCATCGAGGATAACCTTTCACACACAAGCACTCTACCTACTTATAAAACAAGTTGGGCGTTTACGGTTTCCGATTACGAATTTGGATTAAACCCATCAAACACAGTAAAGTTACGAACATGGGTATAAGGAATATATTGTTTCGCATAATAGCGGATAGTGGGTAAACGAAACTCGAGATGAGATGTGAGGTTAAGGTAAATGGATATACAGTGAGAACGTAAAAAGTCCTCCCCCCTTTCAACCTCTGAACGGAACAAGCTAGCGCGGTCGGGCAAAAAGGTACCCCTTTTACTACTATTTGGCATGAAAATGGTTGTTGTCACGTGACCTAGTGTCAAGTGGGCACCATCATTTTATTTCCAATATGAAAAGAGGTCACGTTGTATCTTGTTACGAAGGCCTTTCGATTCTCTATCCAACTCCACTTTGTTCGTGCAAATCGGTCAAGCCGTTTCAAAATGACAAGCGTTTGAAATTTGCTTCAAATATCAATATTAATGATAAAAAAACCTAAATAACTCTTAATTGCAACAGCATGCCAATTAGAAATTGTAACAAGTGCTCAAACATGCTCTAAATGTTCTTGTTTCACTTATTGACACGAAAAAATCGGTTTTGGAATTCAATCCGAACGTGATTTACTGTTTCCGAGGTACATTTCAAACGCTTGCCATTTTGAAACGGCTCGACCGATTTGCACAAACAATAAAGCGGAGTTGGATAGAGAATCGGAGGGCCTTCAAAACGGGGTACCACGTGACCCCTCTCCATATCTGAAAAAAAAATTGATGGTGCCCACTTGACCTTTTTGCCTGAATTTTACCCGACCTCGCTAGCTTGTTCCGTTCGAAGGTTGAAGGGAGGGGGGATGACTTTTCACTTCCTCACTGTACATGTCAATGCTATGAAAATTGAAGATGGAATAGTGCTCGTTTCAACTGAAATATTTTCAGTTATCTGCAACTCCCGGTTATACCGAGAAAGAGCCTTCACTTCTTTATTTTGAATAGAATGTTCCATTCTCTATTGACTTTTTGTAATCTATGATGACTTCCTATGTAACTTCATTCAGAACAATATAAGTCTGGAATACGCCATTTTTGAGTTATTCAAGAAAAAGATTATTTTTTTCAAATCCAATTGAGTCAGACCTAATATTTTTATTATCTACATAAATGAGACCTAATCTTTGGCAACTTTTCAAAAATATTCTACAGGGTTCTTAGAAATGGAAGCCAAATTTTCCCATTAGAAATACCTATGAGAAAACTCAACTTTTATCAAAGGTACACAGTACACCTTCTTTTTTCTCTTAACCCGTTTCTATTTTCCATACATCCGCTTTCGCTAAATATTCAACTCTCCTTACGTTCTATTTCGAAATAAACATCACTATATCTAAACATCTAGCATACTTGATAAATATGTCAATCACATCAGGTAAATTTCCTTCCGCACTTAAGATTGCAAAACTAATACCAATACATGAGAAAAATGGAGTCGATAACATCTCCAACTATCGACCCATATCATTATTGAGTATTGCATCAAAAATATTTGAACGCATTGTGTACAATAGGAAATCTGATTTCTTGAACAGATTCCATATAATAAATAATTGGCAGCATGGTTTTAGACAAGGAAAGTCCACCCAAACTGCTGCTGCAAGTGTTCTGGAACAAATTTATGAAGAACTTGACAAGAGTAAACATGTGGCAGGACTGTTTTTCGCCTTGACGCGAGCTTTCGATTGTCTTGATTTCGGATTTATAAAAAATGAACTGATCAACATGGGATTTAGGGGTATATTCTCAGATTGCATGATCTATCTCACAGAACGAAATAGTTAGTAAAAATATTTGATAAATACTTGGAACTACACAGAGTAGAAACTGGAGTTCCCCAGGGATCCGTGCTGGGACCGTTGATTTTCCTGCTCTCTATCAATGACTTACCACAGTACTTGAGTTCAAATGTGCTCCCATGGGGACCTTCAAGCATTAGTTGAGGACGTCATTCAGAAGTTTTGCAGCTGATGTAGCAAAAATGGATTGATTCTGAACTTGGGGAAAACTGAATGCATATACTTTCATTCACACAATGCTATAAGTACTGAATTGCTATTACTCGATATTGGAGACACTCAAATAACATCAACAACTTGTACAAAATTCCTAGGTGTCTATGATGATCACAATCTGAGGTGGACGTCTTCCCATGCCTCTACATATACATAAGCTCTTTAGGTATATCGAAAAGTCATCATCACATA